GAGGCAAAGTTTTTCTTTTTTTTTTATAGCACGGACTATACTTGTTGAGAGGACCATGTAACAAGTGATTATTATTGAATTTTTTTAACTTACATGATTATGAAGTATTCTACCGGATATGTTTGTATCAACATCTTTGAAATTTGATAATTTATCTCTGGATTAAATATTATGAAACAATAAGCATGTAGCAAACTTGTTCTATTAAACTCATTAGAATACATAGATAAGAAGACCTCACTGATAATGAAAGTTAAGGTTGAATAAATGCCATTACCACCAGGGCTATTTTTGGTACAAGGGGCCTGCAACGCAGGGCCCAAGGGATGTAAGGTAGTAATGGAGTGATGGCGCTTATGTGGCAAATCTTACTTTTTTACCAAGGACACACCAGCTTCTCAAAAACGCCGTAGATAGAAGTTATTTTTTGTTATGACTTTCAACTCAACTTGTGATTTTGCGTGGAATAAGCTTGCCTTATTGTTTTATATGTAACTCGATAATATATTATTTGGATATAAAAAAAAACATTTTTAACTTGTTTTATTTATTCTTGCAGGTTACGGTAACTAAATATGGCTAACAGCATTTTTTTACTATAGCAACTGCACCCTGATATGCTTTGTAACACATGACGTGGTCAGCTTAAATATATTTATAGTAGCATGAAGAAATTCTAAAAATACTTGATTAGTTCATCATTACTATGAGCAATTTAATAAAAAAGTACGAGTAAGAATAACCAATACGTCAGTTTTCATAGGTCTTAGCATATCTGAAGAATAAAATATACGAAGATGTATAAAAATTAATCCAAACTCATTAAAAAAAAAAAGATTCAATTCTTATGTTCCATGAAACAATTAATAAAACTTTCGTTTTAAATGTTGTCACTTATCGGTCAATAAATTTTTGTGAATAACATTAAAAATATCTCGAATAATATTTAACTACTCTACTGTCAAATCTCGAATTGTATTTATACTGTCCAATGATTTTAATGCCTAGTGTTTAGAATATTGTCACTCAACGAACAAATAGTTTTAAGGGATCACGTCAAAAGTATCTTAATAGATACACTAAACTACCCAACTATTTGATCTTGAATCATATTTATGCAGTGCGAATATTCACTTCTGTTTCAAATTTTCTTACTTAACGACAAACAACTTCATTTACCTAGATTCAATCAAAACTATCTTAATTCATACAGAACTGTATGTACTGTTTCATTTTTACTCTCAAAACTGCTTTTGTGAATTGTTTGTCATTGAATTTTAGAATTTTTGAACTGTGGCAGAAACTTATTTTCTTTAAATTTGTAAGCGGACTTATAAATTTACGTATACATAGGTCATTTTATCAGAAACGATTTATTTTATGGCTCAGACGATTACAACATCGTGTAAGTAGATATTGATCTGAAAACTGTTTCAAATGATTAAGGAAGATATTTTCTTGAAAATTACAACAGAATTCAAACCATAAAAAAAATTTTGCTTTGATTTAAGATAAAAAAAAAAAAAAATTGCGCAACTAGCGTTACAAGCACTAGAGTTACTCGTAAGCTTACAGTTTTGACAAAGTCTACAATCAAAATGTATACTTTTTTATTTTTCTACTAAATCAGATTGGAAAGTTGTAAGCGTGACGAATATTTTCATGCACTTTAGAAAAACAAAAAAATTTCGTTGAAAACTTGGGTGGTATTCTAACTTTTTTCATCATTATTTTTCAGTGCTACAGGTTCACAAATTCGCATATTTAATCACCTCAAAATAAAAATTAAGAGCCCGTATCACTAATAAACGTTATGTATCTCCTTAAAACTTTTAGTTATTGACAAAGGAAGTCATAGATTTAAATAATAAAATTAAGTTTTGAACATGATAAGATTACAAGAACGAAGTTTACTTTTTATTTTCTGCGTTTAAATCTCGATTTCACGACGATTTTCGAATATAATTTACTATCACTATTAATAATTCTATGAAAAATTTTCTTTTGATCACTTTTGAGTTTAACAAATAAATTTTTAAAATTAGTTTCTAAATTATTTACTGTTTTACTGTCCTGAACATCTCCAGATGTAATTTTTTTATTGGATTATAGTCATCCATAATATTTACATGATTTTTCTTTGAAATTGAAGATTTTATTCAAATGTAATAAAGCATTATTTTGCTTATCGTTTTTTAAACCTTCAATAAAAAGATTTTGGAATTATTCAAAACAGTCTTACAACAAACGTCTGAAGATATTAAAAACTATGCGAGAAATTTTTTCAGTTGATATGGCAGCATCGGAGATTAGTAGGAAGATTGCTGACTGCAATGCGACGGAGTGGGCCCACTTTTTTTTACCGGTTCGAGTGCTCTGTTCCTGCCAAGCAGCTAAACAAGGCGCACATTTTTTTTTATTTGAGAAGCACGTGGGGTATGTGCCTACACGGAGAGGAGTGGATTTATGTGAAAATGTGCATATAGGCGCACATTTTGGAGGGGTATACCGAATGTGCACCTACAAGGAAAGGAGTGAAAATGTCGGCTATAGCTGTACAGCTGAGAGCGTAACAAAAGCAAGTGACGACGACGGCTGCAATAAGTCTTCCTCGCTACTTGCACTTTAGCTATACCCTTTAAGTATAATATGCAATCTGACTGACTTGCTTTAATTTTATAATTCAACATCTTATAAATTGAGGGGGCATAAGTAAATAGCAAACAAAACCTTTCGGCAGATGTTTATAATATAGTTTGTTGTTCGATGATTAAAAAACACTCATCACTGGCAGCATAACGTTACAAACTTCCTCAAATATTTTATGTACTTGTAAGTCGTTTTTAACTAAACCTAAAGCAATAGCAGTGTCTCGAAGCGTGCTGTAGTGTGTTATTAACTGTTTCCAAATTTTCGAAAGATTTAGCTCCCCTCGCTTGATTTAAAATTAATTTTTTTAAACGGTCAGAGTCCTTAGGTAACACTATATTTAGTCACTCTATTGGAAAATTAAATCTAATCCTTGTTCTTTTAACCCAAATAAATGGCTTAAATAGCGACTACCTACATACTCTGATATTTCATAAAAAATGTGTGTATCGTCTTCATAATCACTTGTATCTGTTTTTTTCATTTTACATACTGCTTTATTTTCTCCCTTGTAAATATAATAAAAAATTCACTTTATACTTTGACTGTTTGGAATTAAAAGAAAAATGTATTTTCTTGTTACAATATCTGAGGACACAAATTTTTTAGGGTGTTTTTCTTATATTGTATCATTGACAAGTACGTAGTAATTGGTGCTATTGCAGTAATTTGGGAATACACCTCTATGAAACAAACAAAAAAAATGCGAACAGATGATTTAACTAATTGGCATCAAACTTCAACAATCCCAAAAACCGTTGGAAAAGATCGATTTACCAAATTTATTAAGATTTATAAAGCAATAATTAACCATTTAAAAAAACAAAGTGTTCAAGGTGGTCATTTTTGAATGATTTTTCCTCATACTAAAAAAGGTAACAGAAGTAGTAGATGATCAAAACTGATAAAATTTTAAAAATGGTCATTAGTAAGAATATAAAAATTAAGAAATGATGTAAGAATTCTACATTTTTAAAATTATCATTTGAAAGAGGGGAAAAAACGTAAAATCATTTATTNCCTCATACTAAAAAAGGTAACAGAAGTAGTAGATGATCAAAACTGATAAAATTTTAAAAATGGTCATTAGTAAGAATATAAAAATTAAGAAATGATGTAAGAATTCTACATTTTTAAAATTATCATTTGAAAGAGGGGAAAAAACGTAAAATCATTTATTTGAAAAAAAAAAAAAAAAAAAAGATGAGGCAAACTTAAATATATTCGATAGAATATCTCATTTAAATATCAAAAAACGCAACCTTTACAACACATAATAAATGTACGAATTTTTAAAGTAATACAATTTTGCTTATTATTCAAATAAGAAATGCCACTCTTTATAGTCAAGATAAAGCAACGTAAAAAAAAAAAAGATATGTTAACTTTAGTATTTGTGTCGCACCGCAATTTTTAAATACTATTTCTAAAATCTTTCACCTTATAAAATCAGTTTGTAAATTTAAGCGGTAGCAACAATAATTAGTAATCATGTTAAGTTAATCGATTATTTAATGATTGTTGAAGGGAATTGTTACAATAAAAATACAGCCAAAAGTTTGGAAATCAAGGATATCTTTATAACAAATAACTTTATTTTTATTAAATTGAACATATTAAATTATTTTATCAAAAAAAACCGTTACTTTTAAATAGAAAAGTTTTTGCTACGCTTTTTTCAGATGTAAAAATCTAAAAAAAATTTTCACTTGCTTAGAGTTAGAAAATGATTAGCGAACAGAAGAATAAAAAAGGACAAAAAATTCTATTATTAGATAATTTATAATTTATAAGTTGGTACCACAAATATATTTAAGTATCGTATTTATTGTTAAAAAAAGAAAATTAAATATTATAATACAGGTTTAAATACATTCACAAAGTATATTACACTACAAAAAATTTAATGGTTTTATACGGTACTACTCAATACTGTACAGCACAAGATTCTTATTTTACGGTAGTATAACGGGAGGTTAATGGGCGAAGCGCACGAGGGGGCACAACAAAACTAGCGTACATGTATTTACATAAATATATGTACATACTGCTTTGCCTCTACTTCATTTTCAAAAAGAAACTAAGCGCTTTTGATTGAGCACTCTTATAAGCGTCTAATATTTATATTTGTCAGTATATAAGAATGTTAAAGGTTTTATATAATTCTTCAACTAAATGTCTGAGGAAAGAAGCTGTTGGATACACCTGACTTACGAGTTCATCAATAGCTCCATGACAAGACACACTGAACGTAGTAACAGTTAAACTTTGAACCTCACAATATTTAATGACAAAAAATTAAAAATACTCATAAAAAGTGTACAGATTTTAAGAAGTTCTGATATGCTTACCAAGACATGTCACCAGAGCTAGTTACAATTTGATTATCATCCAGAAATCGGCAGCATGAAAGATACCCAGTATGACCTGGAAGTTCTCTACTCACACGAACATTACCCTCTCTTGTTTTTAAGCTATATATAGAACATATATTATCTAATCCTCCACAAGCGACGTAACTACCAGAAGGTGCATACGCACACGTCATTACCCAGGAAGAGCGTAATGGTATTGCATGAACTTTATTTGTGGTATAACTGTCCCACACTATGAGCTTACCATCTTGAGATGCTGATACTAAGTTTCTGTAAGAAAGATTTTTTTATTAGATATCATGCGACATGCATTTAGTGAATTTTACTTAAAAATAATTATAGGTATACATATAGGGACACATATACGTAATGTGATAGCTTAACTACGACCTCCCTTTTATTAAGTAAAACGCCGGTGAGTTGGCGGTAGTAAATAATAGGTAAGAATTTTATTTGTACCGAGGAAACTATAAGATCAGGAACTAACTCACAGTCAATGTCTATAACTGTATGTTGGGGGGCAGATTCGTTGCCCGATGTAATAAAGCGAAGTTACTCGTGTTGCCAATTCAATAAATGAAAAAATATGAAAGTAGCTTTTATAAAAATTTAAATTAACTTTTTAAATAATTTACTTATCCCTCTAATATCTACAGCAATTATTTTTGATTGGTATTGATTTTTGTTTTTTTCAAGATAAATTAAACTTATTCTTGTACATTTTTTTTCCAGTTCCTTGCTACACTAATTCCTTCTTACTCTAATT